AGAATGGGTAATAGGATGGATTGCGCTAGCATTACTTTGGTTTTGAATGGGAGAAAGTATTGGAGACGCTTGAGAGAATGAAAGGAAAAATGCATACGTTTACTAAGTTCGTTAATATGAGGTGCCCAAGACATGTTACAATCAATGATGAGACCTAAATTTCTCACCTTATCCGAGTAATGTATAGGGATTCCAGAGTACAGGATATCAGGTACTAAGGTCCAGTCAATTCTACTTCGTAGTCTGCTGCTACCAATATCTATAGATTGCGATTTTTTGGGGTTTACTAATAGACCGAAAGATTCAGCCCAGCTTTGGATCGCAGCTAAATCATTGTTCAAAGCCGTAACAGCCTCAGGCAACTCAATTAAATTACAATGTCGGTATATCTGCAAGCCATCTGCTATATCTATACGTATATGTATAATAAAATTAGAAGTCGAATGTCTGTACAAAGAAAAAAAAATGCTATAAACCGAGTCAGTTCTCTTCTTACATCCCGTAAGAAGAGAAATAGAACAAATCCAAATTTTTCAATTTTTTTGTTTCTCTGCCTGTTTGTCTGTTTGTACGAGCTAATCTCTGAAACTATTGGACCGATTTAAGTGAAATTTTGCATGGTGGTACCTTATATCCCCGGTCAACATCTAAGGTGCCTTTCATTCATGAAAATTAAGGAGTTCCCGTGAGATAGTTAAAAAACTATAGTAACTTATACAACTTAGTACACAACAACTTATGCACCTAATTTAGTAAAATTTGGCATGCTGATACCTTATATTGCCGGTCTAACAACAAGTTACTTTTCATCCCGGAAAAATGAACGGTTCCCGTGGGATATACCTGTTTGTGATTTTCTAGAGGCGAACCCGAGCGGAGAGAGGGTCAGCCGCTAGTTGTAAATGAAACTAAGCAAAGTCCTCTGTTTAACATAGAACCTTGCTATCCTAAAAAAATATAAAAACCAAAATTGAATGGTTCTATGTTTTACATAGAACTTCGTTATTTTGTGATTTAAAAAAAAACAACATAGAACTATGTAAAATTGAATATTTTGTAGTTAAAGTGCCGCTATCTAGTGGTTTGTTTTTGCAAAACTGTAGCTAATGACACATAGAACCTTGTAGCATTCATAACTACATAAGTACTAAAATTGTAACATAGAACCTTGTAACATTGAGCCAACGATTTGCCGTTAAAATTTCTATAAAAGTGAAAAATTATGAAAGTTGATTACAAAATCGCCTTTGTCTTTTGTCATTTAAAGCCATTATGTTATTTTAAAAACATTTCGTTATTATAATTTTTTTTTTTATTTTTAGTAATTGCAAAATATTAAAAAAAAATCCGTTAAAAATTGTCCCGTTTAATTGAAATTGTAAGAAAAGGAGACGATTGACAAAACTCCGGGTAATTATAATTTCACTAGTGAAATTATAATTTAACAGATTATACAATTTACCTGCGACATGTATAATGTTTGTTTCTTAATATTAATATATGCCAATGCATTTTATTTGTGTAACTTTGAATGTGATGTGCAATTAAAACTGCGTCCCATTTATATAGGTGCTAAATCATATTATTTTCAGTCTTTGCTTTTAAAAGAGTAGTTTATACTTAATATTAATAGCGCTATAGGTATGTCATTCTAAACCAATAAATACCCATTCATACGCGCGTACACAGGCTATTATTATAGTAATACCACATTCTATTGATCCATACAGTGGTCTAACGAAAATGTGTAACCAGGGAATTCAATCGGGGCTTGCGAGGAAGACGTGAGGGGCGCCCGAGTGTCGTACATATCTTTATATGACAGTCGGGAAACGGCTTAAGGGTTGACGGATATATTTGTAGGTTGCAACGAACAATGAAACCGTTCGTTATAAAAATTGGTATTTTTGACAACCCTTGCATTTCAATCAATAACGAAGGCGATCTTCTATATACTAACTTCCACATTTATATTATTAATGTTATGTAAACAATAAAGTTACACCAAAATCGGTACGATTAACTATTAATATTACCTATTAAGTTTATCATTTTAACTCTTAAACAAAGCAAAGCTTCAGTGATGCGAATGTGTTCTATGTGCCATTTTGTTCTGCAGTCGGCAGCTCGTGTGAGATCGACGCTAATAAACAGACTACGAAAAACTGCAAACATTGCGATCTCATGGAGTTCAGGTTTGATTATACTCCTTTATATTTTATATATTATTTAGCTATAATATGTTTGTTTTATATTTTATTTGCATATGCGATATGTGATTTATTTTTGCATGGTAATTTTTTTTTATATATATAAAAAATGATTTTCGCCTCTGGCAACGCTTGATTTAACTATTGAATATGTGCGAAAACGTTTGTGGTTATTTATTTGTTTAGATAAAATTTATTTTTAATATATATAAAAAATATCAGCACGAAATATGAAAAAGCAACATTGAAATTGGACCAATGTTTTAAAACTAACTAATATTCTAAGGGCCGCTCCACACAATAGTGTCGATCACAGTCCGTTCTCGGTCCGATATCGATCTAGTATTTCTATACAAAAATCGTTGCTGAAGCGTGATTCGACCGGAACGTGAGTCTCACCGATATCAAACCGAGAGCGAATTGTGATCGGCGCTATAGTGTGGATATAGGTGACCCATAATTGTCGGTGAAATAGAAACTGTCCCCTAACAGCCCCCTAACCATGCTTAGGGGATCCCTTAAACTTCCCGGGGGAGAAGCCAACTCCTACCGGGCGCGTCCCCAGGTGGCGGATAGGGGCATGCCACCCGCTTAGAGGGGCGGGTGGTACCGGAGAAATCCGGCGCGGACCAAATGGCTTGGATGGGGCCGCTCGTATAGGCCTCGAGCCGAAGACGTTGCGGCCACCGGTGGTGGGACCGCTTGGTCCCACAACCGGATGATGGGTGCCGGTTGCGGGACTGTGGTCGCAGGCCCGCATTCGGCGGAGGGGTAGGCCGCGGCGGGAGAGGAGTGCCGGTATTTCGGTGCGCCGTTCTCCCTACCTTCCGCGGCCTAGACGGGGCCGCCACCGTTTGATGGCGGACGCGGTGGGGCTGCAGGGGAAGAGGAGTGTCGGTGTTTCGTTGCCGCTCTCCCTGTCCTCTGCAGCCGATTGGAGGTGGCCCACTTCGGTGGGCGGTGTTTTGGTTTTATGGGGCTGCTCCGGGTACCTCTCTGACGTAGCAGAGTTGACTGTGGAGCAGCCCCATTGGTTTGGTGGTCTGCCTAGTATTTAGGCAGACCTGCCGCCGGGGCGCCGTAGTAGTTATGCGCAAGCGATCCTGCGGCGTCCCACTAAGGCGGGGGGAAGGGATGTTGGGTTTTAGTGGGTAGTACCGGCTCTTCTAGCCGGTGAGCCCCACATCACCACCTGGGGGATCAGGTGGTATGCGTAAATGCATTTCCCGACGATAAAAAAAAAAAATCCCTTAAACTTAGGTGACGTTGGTGAAATCGGGCATGAGACTCTCATTAAAAACAATCGTTTAATGAGTTTTGTTTTGTGAAGTTTGATTTCTATAAAAACTTCTATGAAACAAATTCCGATATTATTTTACAATGACATATCTTCTATAATAACTAATTCTTTAAGCATCGATCAAAAAAGTACTAGATACACAATCCCATGCAAAAGTTCTCTTAAAACTGTCATCAATTGTGTTTAAGTAATTATTCTTGTTGAAATAAGTAACAATGTAAATTGAACCTTAAATGCAATATTTAAAGTTGTTTTCACAAAAAAGTTTTTCAAATTGAAAGCGCGCTCAAATGTTCAAATGAGCGCTCATTCGGTGAGGACATATTTTTTCGCTCATTGTGTATCTAGTACTTTTTTGATTGATGGCAGTGACATTATCTTCTATTATGACATGACCAATTTTAATCAATCCACATGGTACACCGTCTACCGACACCGTCTACCGGGTCACACCCGAATAACCAAGCATGCCAAATTTTACTAAATTAGGTGCATAAGTTGTTGTGTACTAAGTTGTATAAGTTACTATAGTTTTTTAACTATCCCACGGAAACTCTTTAATTTTCTGGAATGAAAAATATCTTAGATGTTGACCGGGGATATAAGGTACCACCATGCAAAATTTCATTTAAATCGGTCCAATAGATTTGGAGATTAGCCCGTACAAACAGAAAAACAGACAAACAGCTCGCTCGGGTTCGTCCATACCTACGAATATGTTGTATTATCTCTTTAACCATTTGTTCAAATTATATGCAGTTAAAGGGAAAAGTCTTTTGTTTTAAACATTTTAGACGATAAATTTACTTATTTTGATAAGAATTCATCATCAATAAACATGACCGATTTAAATTATTTTTTTAATATAAAAAACTACTTTTTGACTTAAATATGAAAGTTAGACATATGCTGTCGCTGACTTTTTTTAGGCATTATTAAGCTCTACAACTTTTCTCTAGAACATAATCATATATATCTCATCGTTAAGGCAGCGTTCGTAAGAAACGTTTTCGTTCGACCGTTTTTTCTCCGACTTACTTTACAAATCCGACTACCACGAAAAAGCCTTTTCATTCTTCGGGTTAATATATAGCCTATGACACTCAGAAAGAACGTGGCTTTATATAGGTAAAAGAATTTTGAAAATCGGTTCAGTAGATCCAGAGATTACCCCCTACAACGTCACAAACTCACAAGATCACAAACTTTACCTCTTTTTAATATTAGTATAGATTAATAATGTAAATAAAAAAAATATATATATATATATATATATATATATATATATATATATATTCTTATAAATAAAACACTGAAAAGATTAAAAAAAATAATTTTTAATGAGTAACTGAAAATAATTACAATTAAATATATAATTAAATATATTATAAGGGCAGAGTGCAATGTTGCTTTCTCGATGTCTGGTGACAAAATGAGCCCTTCCACTCATCGTCTCCTATTTATACACGTGGTCACGCAGTACATGTCTAAATAGTGTTGCCATCTAACACGGCCTCTCCTGACATGGCAGCGTCCTCGCGGTCCTCATCAGTCCTTGATGATGGATCAGCACCATTTTGGTCTTGATCTTCATCGCAACCTGTTACAACAAAACAATACGTTAGGCACACACATCTAGAATTAATGGCGCTTGATAGCAAAAGGGTTAAAATTAAAATAGCAAGCGTCTATGTACCAAAAATCACAAACAACTTGCACACAGCAAATAAACGGTCATATTTACACTAACGTGTTTTTAAAGACACCTGCAGGATTTACTCGGGTCATATTCCCACACCGAATACCATGCGCGCATAAGGATTTACATCGGTTACAGCAGGTCAACCACGAGACCTACTACTACAGGATTTACACTCGGTCTATAGTCAGCATGGGCCCCACTGACATCAACCTTGTTACCTTTACGGCGAGACACGAGCCTGACTCAATAGTACAAGCTCACTATCCACCTGTGTCGAGGTCACCCCAAGACCATGTGCACTCAGGATTTACATGGGTCTATTCCAAGAACACAACACTAAACAAAAGCAACTTGTGATTATTGGATACATAGGCAGTGTAAAGTGTACGCAAAAGTTAAGTGTATACAGTAAAAATAAGACTTAACGAAAGCTCTCAACTAACTTTCAAAGAAGCCAGCACATGTGTCGGGCGTCCATTCGCCACGCCACAACACCATACAGCCAGCAGCTGCTTGACTGGTTTTACCATATGAACCAGCTAGCAATCTCAGTTCGTACCTGTCGTTAGGTAGAACACTTATGACCTTATATGGGCCACGCATGCCACAATCTAATTTGCCAATACTCTGAGATCTCTTGATGACAAAGACTAGGTCATTTACATTGAACCTTTTTGGAGGATTTCTATTCTTATTAACATATGCGTCTTGTTTAGCTTTATTTTTATTAATTAACTCATCCGCGCGTTGTCTACGTAGCTCACGAATTGCCTCGCGGTTAGGATTTGATCCTTCAAGTGCAACATCTCTTATTAAAGAATTAATTACTGGCGTAGTGGATTCCGTGCCAATTAATAGGTTTAATGCGGAATACTGTGTAGTCTTATGTTTGGTAATATTTAATACTAACTGTAATTTCCATAAAACCTTTGACCATTCATTTGCATTATTATTAACCTCTATCCTAACCATATTTAACACAGTACGGCAATATCGTTCCACCTGACCGTTTTCCTGATGCATCTCAGGCGTAATAAAGTGTACTTCGATACCAAAATCATCTAACCAACGTACAAAATTATTATTATCAAACATTCGGCTTCGATCGCACACAAGCCGCTTGAAAGTGCCAAACAAAGATATAGTCTGAGTTATTACGAGCTTTAACTCGTGACTATCCTGTCTGTACCGTCTTTCTTTTTCACAAGTAAGATCGGGCTAGCATATTCTGACTCCGATTCGCGAATTATGCCTTTCTCTAATAAATCTTTAACTATAGCGCGAACACGTATTTTCTCGTCATAAGACAATTTATATGGTCGGTAATATATCGGAACGTCACTAGTCAATTTAATCTGCATTTCACTATCTCTAACTGTAGTGGTAGCAGTACCGGTTAAAAAGTAATTGGAATATTTACTCAAAACATTTAACAATTGTTCCCTAACCTTTCCAGTAACAGCTGTCGATACATTCTCTAAAATTGATAACGAGTTTACTTGAGTAATATTATTTACATAAGCACTACTGTGGACAATACACTGTGTGTCACCGGTACGAATATAGGCAACACCTTTTCTATTTAAAACGTCGGTACCAATAATTACGGGCACATTTAAATGACTCTTATCCACAATATAAAAATCAACTTCTAATGTGATATCATTTAACTGTATCGGTAATGTAACCATAGACGTTGCTACAACCTCCATACCGCCTAAGCCTCGTAATAATTGGTGAGCTGGTTTTATTCTACACGAAAAGTATTTAATTAAATCAGATATTATCAGAGAAACACTTGAACCGCTGTCTATGAGTACATCGACGGGTATATTGAATATGACAGCCGTAACTACATCAGGATTTTTACGCTCACCCTCATTTTCGCGACAAAAATTAACGGTGTTATTATTTCTAACGCGTTCCTTAGCAAAACACTGGATTTCCGTATGACCTAACTTCTTACAAAAACCACACTTGTCAAGTCGAGGTTTTGTTGAAGAACTACCCCCACTGTTATCGGAATTTTTGTTTTGAGTTTCTGGCTTAGGTCGTTTGGGGCAAAGATCACGCTTATGACCTACCTCGTTACACTGATAGCAGCGGATTTTAAATGTGTCAAAAGATTTTCGTTTTAACTGGATATTACTGTTACGATTTGAAACACTATGAGTACTGATTTTCTTATTAGAATTAGATACACCACACTTTACGAAGCTTGACAAGTATTCTACTATACATTCAGGTGTTAATTTAGCGTTCATTGCGGATGCACGAATCTGTGGGTCAGTAATGCCCCGTATAATTATAGCAGTTAGCAATTCACTACTTAACCCTTTGACGATGCGTAATTTTAGTAAAGATTTACGAGCATATTCGGCGTAAGTGGAATACTTGTCAGACTCAGTACACATAACATTATACAGAATGTTCGCAATATCGACAGACCGTGGACACAATGCTTTCAATTCTAATTTGAAGTTAGACCAAGTACGTGTGGTACTCGTCCACTCGCTAAGCCAGGTGCGTGCTTCACCTTTAAGACAACGACCTATGCGAGCAAGGCATTCACTATCCTCCCAACGATTAAGAGATTTAGCTTTATCAACTTCATCGCACCACGTGTCGACATCATGAACACTCGGGTCAAAATCTGAGACAAAATATTGATTCGATCTCACCGGGAATTGGATGATAGCGTCTAGGAAGCGTTCTGCAACGCTTTTTGCGTCGTTCCCCGCAGGCGTCGATGTGGCAGCGACGTCTTGTGCAGAAGCTGGGGGTGCGCAGGCAGGTGTTGTGGCAGGCTCCACAGCTGGCAGTGGCGTGCTTGGCATAGTGAGAGCTCGGCAGGGCTCCGGGGTTACCACCGAAGCAGATAGAAGCTCGCTCCCGCGTGCCCGTTCCTCCAGATCTTGTAGTCTCTTCAAAATCTCGTTCAGAGTATTAGAAGGCGAGGGAGTACGTGTACGACGCCTCCCTTTCCTTCTAGAGTCCGCAGGCATTGCGTCTCTGCCCAACTTAATCTCAATGATACAATTCTTCGACAGAGAATAAAACACACCATAAAAGATCGAGAATTACCTACTTCGTCAAATTTATAAAATCAGTCGGATTCTCGGGCGGTTAAGGCCTTCGAATCCCACTTCTGATCTTATAAATAAAACACTGAAAAGATTAAAAAAAATAATTTTTAATGAGTAACTGAAAATAATTACAATTAAATTAATTTTTAACAAAACTAGCACAAATTACAGTAAGTTTATAAGGGCAGAGCGCAATGTTGCTTTCTCGATGTCTGGTGACAAAATGAGCCCTTCCACTCATCGTCTCCTATTTATACACGTGGTCACGCAGTACATGTCTAAATAGTGTTGCCATCTAACAATATATATATATATATATTGCTAGTTTGATCGTTATTAAATCTTTATAAATGTTTAACAATTACATAACATACTAGTGACTCACCCTCGCTTCGCTCGAGTTCATCCCCTTACGTTTTACCCGTTAGTATGGAATAGATCGACTATATTAACATAGGTATGATGAGCTGTTGTGATGATATATACATAGGTATGGTGAGTTTTTGTGGGTTGTATTATAACGTGTTTTCCGTGGGAAAGAGATAATCTAGTAGCCTATGTCCATCTCCAGATCTCTATCTCCACAAAAATCACGCAAATCCGTTGCTCTATTACGACATGAAAGAAGGACAAACAAACAAACATACGTTCATATGTATAATATAAGTATTATGAAATCGATATCGCTGATAGAAAACTATAAATAACATTTATTACATATTATGGTTGTTTCAGTGCTTATTTCTCCAAAGGACCAATTACCAAAAGAGTTTTTAATACGTAATTATTCACCTTTAAATGTAAATTATATTGAATTATATTTTATACACATTTACTTGAAAAAATGAAAAGATATATTATCTATATAATTGTATATAAAACTTAGAAATAAAGCTTTGTTTTTGAAATAGAGGAAAAGAACTACTGTAAAATACAACAAGTATTGGTAGTTTGAACAAATAAGCACTGAGACGACGTCATCATCTCATATAATATTAAAGCCTTGAGCAGTTTCCTCCACGCCCTCAGGCTGCAGTACAACAAGGACAAGGTGGAGGAGATGCTGCATTCGAAGCAGGAACTGGATAAGAAGATGGCTCTCTTGGACAAGAAAAGCGACAAACTCTATTCCATCATATTAGCATTGCTCAAACTAAACGGTGAGTTGTTGAATGAACTAACAGTAATATCACAGTCTTCTTGTCCGTTCAGTCGCGAAGGCATTTATATATAATATTATAATATAACGGAAGCTCTCAGAAAGGCGTTTTTTTTTGACTTGACTGAATAATATCGCACCGGTAGCTTATAAATCCTTCTCAGATAATATATCTTTCTATTGATGAAGGCCGTATGAAAGAGATGTGTTCCCACATAGCAAATACTACAAGTACTACTCAGACTAAGGTATAATATAGGCAGAGTGTCATAGAACTAAACATGAAGCCTTTAAATTTATATATAATGTTTGTAAACTTAATACACATATTAATATGATATTCATATAAAAATAATGTTATGACTCAAAATTATTTTTAAATGTTTTATTTCTGTTTATTTTTCCAGTTCTCGTCCAAACCTCAGAGTCACGCGAACAGCTTGACTTCGATGAACGGTGATAACAAAGAGAAGGTGAGTGAATGTGTTGTATTTATAAAGTGTTACGGCTGTATGTTTGGAGTGTGGGAGAAATTTAAAAGCAACTCCAATAGAATATTATTTACACCAGTTTATTAATGTGTAAATCTTATAATATTACTGACAAATATATAAAGTAAACTTTTTCTTCTTCCCTTAAACGAGCGAAACGAAATAACATTAAAAAAACTCTTTTAGTGTTTCGCCACATACATATGTACGCGGGCGGTGGCGGCGCCATCTCTTGGCTTTTGTTGCTAACAGTACCCTGTGTGTTACTCCATGTCATAATTTGTCTGTGCTAACTACATTTCATCCAAATCCGTCCAGTCACATCATCTTGAAGCAATAACAAACACGCGCATGCACATGCACACACAAACACACAAAATTTCTAATTGAGGACGCGTTTGGCTCAGTTTGTAGTGACCCTTACATGCTGTGCCAGCGGTCGTGGGTTCGAATCCCGAAAATGAAATCGAAATATATGTATTTAAAGTTATATATGTGTAGTGTATCAACTATCTGGTTACCATAACTCCTCGTAGATTACCTTAGATGGAGCAACATATTTATTTATTTATTCTAATTACTTGTATTAATTTTTTTAGTGGATTCCTAATATTTTTTCCAAAATAAAGGTAGCCTAAATTACTCCTTATAACATCAGCTAAACCTACAAACAGCAATGTTGTAACTCAGTATTGAATTTTAAAAGTAGATATTTGTCTTAACTTCATAAATTGTTCCTCGCAAGTATGACAATATTAAAGATAAAATATTTAAAAACAAATCACACTATCGACTAACTTTAATATGTAGGTCTTCTTAAAACGAGTTAAACTAGTCTCGAATTAGTGGGTTTTATTTGTGACTGAAGGAAATTAAAATAAAGGAAATAATAGCAATAATGCCAATTGTCATCCATACAAAGTTACAAATCGATACGACGATTGGTCGATTAGAATCGATTAAAATCGATATAAGACTGTTTCCATCGCGAATTACACTAAAATCTGCTGAGCCATTATGTCTTGAAGAAGTAGAAACGCTCCTTTGCTCACAAATGTTCATATGTAATATTAGTATAATGTGACTATAGAATTATATAGATTACTTAAAATACTTGAATCATGACCAAAAACTCTTTATTTGTTAAATCATTTCATATATTGTGTATGTCTAAATAAGTACATAAATTACATTTAATTTTCTTAATATAATATTTTTCTTACTTTCCAGGATTGAAAGGCGCGAGAGTATTGTGTGGGAATCCAGATGACAAGAGATCTATCTGTCCTTCACACACACACACACACACGCACGCAAGCACGCACGCACGCACACATACACACACACGTACACTAACAAATAAACAAACACACGGACAGAGAAACTCTCGCGACTCGTGAATACTTTAAATGAACACTAGTGCAGTGAGAGAGTGGAATATAGTCCAAGAGCCGGTGACGATCAGACCTTCGTCTATACATATAATAGAATTGTAACTAAGCCGAATCTGTACATTAAATATTTTTAGAAAATCTGACATACACACTCACAGAAGAATTATATATATAAAGATAAATAACATTGAAGTGTCTGCTTGTAATGTCAAAATAACAACTTTTTACTAAATTCATATGAAATTAACATATGGTACATAAAAAATAGTTATATATAGTATAATTTTGTCTGGCTGTTTGTTTGTCTCGTTAATCTCTGAAATGGCTCGACCGATTTTAATGAGACTTTTACTGGCAGATAGCTAATGTTATGAGGAAAAACTTAGGCTTGTTCCTTTTTATACTTTAAAGTGTAAAGTTTAGTCAATTTTTTTTGTGCTTTTGATTTTTTATTATTAATTAAACAAAAACTATAAGCAATCAATACTTGACCATGTAATTTTTTTTTCGTATCTATACGTTGAATAGTACCTACCTATATAGACATAAAAGAGCTTTTTTAATAGTAGTAATCTATATATTCCATACTAACCGTCGATATATTGTCATACCACTAAAGTACCATTTTGTGGCAAGTTACATATAGCCGTGAACCCTAAAGCAGTTTCTAGTTCTGTTTGTCATGTCAAAACAGCTTTTTTTCAATATATGTACATATGAAAAAATATAAGAAGCGTTTATAAAAGTATATACGCTACTTGTGTTTTTTTGTTTGTCTGTATGTTCCGGCTAATCTCCGATACGGCTGGATCGATTTTGACGGGACTTCCACTGGCAGATAATTGATATTGTATGGTGTACTTAGGCTAGTTTTGTTTTAGAAAAAAATAAAACTAAAAATCTCACCTCGCACTATACTATAGTGCTGTTTAGAATAATTTTTTAGAGGTCTGTATGGACTGTGGCACCGATAAGAATCAAGTCATATTATGGAGCAAAAATGATAAGAAAATTGACAAGCTCAATTCAAAAACTGTACATATTACTTAGGCTAGTTTTGTTTTAGAAAAAAATAAAACTAAAAAACTCACCTCGCACTATACTATAGTGCTGTTTAGAATAATTTTTTAGAGGTCTGTATGGACTGTGGCACCGATAAGAATCAAGTCATATTATGGAGCAAAAATGATAAGAAAATTGACAAGCTCAATTCAAAAACTGTACATATTACTTAGGCTAGTTTTGTTTTAGAAAAAAATAAAACTAAAAAACTCACCTCGCACTATACTATAGTGCTGTTTAGAATAATTTTTTAGAGGTCTGTATGGACTGTGGCACCGATAAGAATCAAGTCATATTATGGAGCAAAAATGATAAGAAAATTGACAAGCTCAATTCAAAAACTGTACATATTACTTAGACTAGTTTTGTTTTAGAAAAAAATAAAACTAAAAAACTCACCTCGCACTATACTATAGTGCTGTTTAGAATAATTTTTTAGAGGTCTGTATGGACTGTGGCACCGATAAGAATCAAGTCATATTATGGAGCAAAAATGATAAGAAAATTGACAAGCTCAATTCAAAAACTGTACATATATAAAAGTAGTAGAAACAACATGTAAAAATGTGTAACATTAATAATTAAAAAGAAAAAAGAATATAAATAAATATCGTGCTGTTTAATTCATCTATTTATTTTATACTCTGTAAATTCTACCGTTTTGACATTCGCCATCTTATCTTGAGTACATAATACTAGCATTTTTTACATCACTTGAAGTAGTAGCCTAAAACCTGTGACCTAGGTCATAGCCCAAAGCTGCCTCGCTGTACGTCGTCTCAGAGCTTATTTGTCCAAACGATCAATTCACTC